GTATAAATATACATTTATATATATAATATAATATACATATATATACTTGTGTTTGTGTGTATCTGTATGTAATAAATATACACTCCGGTAACTACATATAGTGCAATGCAAGTATAGATATATATACATAGAATCCATACGAAAAACTATTAATCAGTATTTGCACATATATCTGGCAGTAATTCAGCTGCATATTCATGTATCTAAATATATAAAAAATCATATATTTGAGTATATACAAATATAGATCGACATAAGCCCCCCGCAACACCTCCATATCCACATCCGCACATTCTCAATATCTAATATCATCTGATCTTAACAACATCATCTAATCCAACACCGTCGAGTATAACATACTGTCTGTAGAGCTTCTGTTCCCTATTCAGGTCGTCCACAGTTTGTGCTAATTGAGAACCCGTGTACACCACAGGCACGTCCAACGTAGGTACACTATCAGCTGTCTCTGTGGCCATATCCAGCATCTCTCTCGAGATCGTGTCTTGCATATCATCTGGTTGTGTGTCATCTGCATCCTCAGATATATTGTCACTTACACTACTTGGTACTTCTATGTCGTCTTCTTTTATACTCAATACATCTGTCGAATATGATAGTTTTTTCTCCCGTTCTAGCTTCCGGGCTAGTGCCGCGTACAGTGCTGCAGCTGTGTGACTGCACGGTATTGACTCATGGCGTTTATTTCTAGGTGGCATCATGTACGTAGCTACCATTTGGTTCTTTGAGTGCGTTTGTGTTTGTGTGCGTCCGTTCACATACAATATGTATAGGATCTCGATAGTATTTTTATAAAACAGATATCCCTGTCCTCCGAGAGATATGACTGTTGCTGCCTCGCAGGTGTGTATTTTACTCTACACACTTTTTGGGAGTAAACAGGAATTTAGGACATATATTTTAATTTTTGTGTGAGTCTATTCCTAAATAATAGTAGTTAAGGCTCAGTGCTCACCCTCTACCTTCTCGATGGTCTATACTGAGTAAACATAGACAAATATAGACCACACGTATTGTTGCATATAAGTCATAACGCCCCCCGCGTGTGAGCACTGAGCAGTGCGTAAACCTCAAACCGTTTCCCGTAAAAACTTTTATAAATCGAATGAATATACGTTTACGATAAACTTTTATTCCAAATACGGTCCTCTGTATGTTCTTAGGAGCACTTTGCGGGCCTAAACATAAGTGTCTACTGTTTTGAATATACGAACCAGTTCTATGAAAAGAATTTGGGTAGGCCCTTCTGATTACATTATAACCATTAAAAAGTTCAGCTTCTAATTAAAATGCGTTTACGTTCAGCTTCAATTCCGTACCCCCTAACGTATTGAGCAAGAGACCTGAAAACATAATGAGCTTAGTAGCAGCGGCCAGCGAGCCAGCGAGCCAGCGACTCACTGAGCAGTGAGCACTGACTACTGAAAGAGTGGGAGTGACCGTGACAGTGCCGTGGCCCGCGAGTCCATGGGCGTTTGCGTTTTTACGCCAGGAGTCTCTTCTTGAGCACTCTCTCTTGTGTGTGTCAACCGGTCAAGTTGTCAGTGACTCAAGTGACAGTTGTGTGAGAACTGAGAAGTAAGAAGTGAGAACTGAGTATGGCGAGACTGAGTCTGAGTCTCTGAGAGACTCTTGTTGATTGTACAGACCTTTATTATAGAATTTATAGTTTATACAGGCCGCCACACTAAAACTGAGAGTACTATATATAATACAGTAGATACTCTCACTCACTCTGCTCTCTACTCTTTCTACTAGTTAGAGTAGGGAGTCCCAGACATCCAGGACCAGGGCACTGGGCAGGGGGCCAGGCCCCAGCAGAGTGGTAATTGGAAAACTGTATATACATATGTTCATATGTATGTACATACATATTGTTCTGTATTTTAGAAGGCGCACCATGCACATCAACATATGTAGATACAGATCGTCCACGGTCCAACGTCAAACGTGTGAATTGTGATGTCTACCTGCACCAAGACTCCGCGAAAGAACGATCGAGACTCCGTCACTCCGAGGAGTCCGACCACTCGAGCAGTCAGAGACTCGGACTGAGTCAGACATGATGACTTTAGGACTCAGGACTTAGCAGACAAACATATATATTTTTCTGAAAATTATTCTGTTTTAAAAAATCAGGGTGCATAAGATTCAGCAATCAGCACTGCTCTGGCGACTGCAGCAGCAAAGTAGATTCTTTATTTCTATATAAACTTATATTTGTAGATCAGACAACTCACAAGTCGTCCAATAAACTGACGCTAAATTCACAATCATTCACAAAAAAATAAAAGAATTTAGGCCCAGCCGCTCAGACGCTTTTAGCGCAAAAACGCCCCTGTGAATTTTTTTATCACTACTATAAATATGTTTAGAAACAAAAGAAAAAAACAACCGGGTCAACGACCAATAAAACATCGACTACATGAGAGAGGAAATTTTTTTTTGGGCCTCTAAAAACCAAAAGCTAATTAGAACTGACTTCCTAATTCGGATAGGGGGACTCCCAGATTATAAAATTGAAATTCGAAATTGGCTCCCACAACCCTTTTGACACCGACCCTAAATGCACTGATTTATGATTCTATATTTAGGATTAAATATATATCTGGAGAAAATCTGGTTGCCTTAATGTCGATTCCTAATAAATATTGTGTTAGCTGTTTTTTTTTGAATATTTTGAGGCGTGGAAATCACCGGACGTATTTACACCCACGGACACACACCCGCCTCTATATTTATTTTACATATTTAGAAGCCCAAAGACGTCGTATTGTTTATTTGCTTGACATCATGGCCGAGAGGAATGATGTGTAACTGGCAACCATTTATTTTTGAGAGATATTCGTAGATGCTAACCAACACAGTGTACAACTCATATATAGTGTACAACTCATATATGGGTGCAACCACTTCGTCAGGACATGAACTATTAAACAGAAAATCGGCTTTTAAATAGCGAGAAGAGTAAACATTCAACATAAAACGAGAAGCGACCTGTCGAAGAATCGTTGCGAAAGTATTTGAACCGTCCAACTAAACTGTTCGGTAAGAGCGTTGACACAGAAGCGATTGGCGATCGATTAAAGACGGAAAATCAATATATGCTACACCAACTTATATTGGATACCTTTTAATCATAAGTGGAAGTTGTCCACGTGTAAACGAGAAAAAAATAGCATTGTCAACCTCTATAGTTTACGCAACGTGCTTATACATAT